GGAATGGGATTGGTTGCACCAGGACAATGGGATGTGTGTGGAATGGGATTGGTTGCACCAGGACAATGGGATGTGTGTGGAATGGGATTGGTTGCACCAGGACAATGGGATGTGTGTGGAATGGGATTGGTGGCGCCAGGACAATGGGATGTGTGGGGAATGGGCTTGTGTCTCAACAAAGGGAAGTGAGGGGTCTGAAATCAGGGACAGTTGTACTCCGGAGTGACCACAGGGGGCAGCAAGCATGGAGGACAGTTATACTTCAGACTGATCACAGGGGGGCAGCGCGCCCTGCCAATCCCAGAGAGCCATTGGAGCAGCTGCCAACTAGGCAGCACAGTTCCCAGTGCTTTGGCCCGGCTCCCTGTGGATGGGAAGCCTGGTGTTCAAATTGGAGCTCCTTCCTGGTTCTCCCACTGCCCGTTTCACACACCTAGATGCTCCCGGGGGTATCCTGCCTGCAGGGTTTTGACAGCCTGTTAAGGGGCCCATGTAGGAAACCGGGTGAAGTTTCTAAAGTTCTTTTGGGATCCTTCTCAAGGGAAAGTGCTACCCACTGGTCAAATCCTGGGCCAACCACGCTTGTCAGGATCGCTTCCCGTTCCAACCAGCCCTGGTCTTTCTCTGCGCTCATTGCAAACGTTCTGCGGTAGGGATTCTTTCTCCCATGAGCGGGAAGGACTGCTTTTCGTGCCGACACCCACATCGCACGGAAGCCGGAGCGCGTGCTGATCGCTCTTCGCGAGTTTCCCATTTTCAAAGTTGGCACCCTCCGATCCGCAACCTAGACGGCGTACCATGTGACGTACGCGACCCGTCGCACATCAGGAATAACGATGCCGTTGACGTTCACAGACATTCCCTAGCACAAGCACTGGGCGCGAAGAAAGACATTTGCATGATGAGGGCCCGTTTGGCAATCAAATCCAAGGCTACATGTACCTCACAGCTTCTTCACAACAAATAATTCAACCAGTCCTAGTAACTGTCACAAGCTAATTCTACTAGCCAGATATACAGAGAAGCATTGGCATTAGAGCTCATCCGCAAATTCAATTTGCATGCTAATGGACTCAGTCGTGATGAAGGCTGGTTGGAGCTCTATCTACTTAACTTTCAATAGAGGTGCAAACTAGGAAGCCTAGTTCGAACTACCTAGTTCGTGCCATGTGTAGCCACGCTGCACGGGGTTCGAACGAGCGGGGATTTAAAAATGGCGGCACCCCGCTTATGCAAATGAAGCCCGGGAAATTCAAATCCCGGGCTTCATTTGCAAGTGCGGTATGCCTACATTACCCTCCTAATTCGAATTAGGAGGGTAGTGTAGACATACCCTGATTCCCTTAACCCCCCTATTTTCTATACCCTCTGCTCCTTGTCTCCCACCCCACTTCTTTTTTTTCTCCCTCCCCTTCTCTCCTATTTATTTTGGGTCTGCACATCCTAAACTCAGAACTCTGGTCATCTGAAGAAGTGGGCAGTGCCCCCGAAAGCTCATGATACCAGCTACATGTTTTGTTAGTCTAGAAAGTGCTATCAGACCAATTGTTGTTTTTTTCTGTACAGACTAACTCGGCTACCCCCTGAAGCTTCTGAATAGCAGAGGTGAGACAGGTTCACGGTCAAGGCCCAGGTCTGGGAGTCTGGAGATCTGGCTCTGTTCCTGACTCTACCACAGTGTGTGATCTCTCTGGGCCTCAGTTTGACCTCCTCTAAAATGGGGGTAAAAACTCTTGCCTCCCACAGAGGAGGTGAGAGTTCCTTGGTGCTTGGGTATCGGTAGAGGCAAGATGCTCCAGAAGTACAAATCATTACACTGTATCTCAAATAATTCGGCATTTGCTGGAAACAAGGGCTCATCACCACATACGTGCCATGTGCTTGCACGATGACCTTACCGCTAAGCATAGAAAGTCTGAGTCTGATTCAAACCGTAGCATGATTGCTCAAACTTTCCAGCACCTGTTCTAAAAATAAGGAGCAAGGGAATTGTTTTCAGCTAGGGTGAGGAAACTGCTGTATCCACGCAAAACTCGGCTTCTAAATTTAGACCAGAACTCAGTGATTTTGATGCTGGGATTCCATTTGACTCAGGCAAAATTGATGCCAGGCTGGTACCTATCTTTTTTGTTTCATTTCCTGTAGCACTAGACGCTAAGGCAACCATTACTTGCAAAGAAGAATCTGTCTGGCTTGTGTAGTGGGCTATCGTTGTTTAGAAATGCAGCTGATGCGCCCTGTGTACATGTTTCCAGAGCCTTTAACGAGCAATTATGGCCATGCCTTTTCTACTTCGCCATGTCATATTTATCTACTGCCAAAATTATAGGCATTTTTACAGAAAAAAAGAGGGACTCCTACTCTGCACTTTGTAGGAAATCATTTTACTCGAAAAGACAAGGAGATCGTCGAGGGCAAATCAAGACACATATCAACTCTTTGCTAGCCTTGAATGTTTCCCTTTTCATCATGCCTACCAAAAAAACCCATCGAATCCTAGGTCTGGAAGGGTATGTCTACACTAGCCACCCTAGTTAGCAGTAGGGTGGTTAATATAGTCATACGGAGTTGCAAATGAAGCCCGGGATTTTAATTTCCCGGGCTTCATTTACATGATCCCGCCGGCGCCATTTTTAAATGCCGGCTAGTTCGGACTGCGTGCCGCACGGCTACACGCGGCACGAGCTAGCTAGTTCAGACTAGGCTTCCTAATCCGAACTAGCTGTACACCTCGTTCCACTAGCTGACATACCCGAAGAGACCTCAGGAGTCATCGAGTCCAGCCCCCTGCCCAAAGCAGGACCAACCTCAACTCAATCAACCCAACCAGGGCTTTGTCAAGACGGGACTTAAACACGTCTAGGAAAGAAGATTCCACCCCCTCCCTAGGGAACCCATCCCAGTGCTTCCCACCCGCCTAGGGAAATAGTTTTTCCTCATCTCCAACCCAGACCTCCCCCACTGCAACTTGAGCCCATTGCTCCTTGTTCTGCCACCTGCCCCCACTGAGAACAGCCTCTCTCCATCCTCTTTGGAATCCCCCTTCAGGGAGCTGCAGGCTGCTCTCAAATCCCCCCTCACTCTTCTCTTCTGCAGACGAAACAAGCCCAAATGCCTCAGACTCTCCTCATAGGTCATGTGCTCCAGCCTCCCCCCCCCCATCATTTTGGTCCCCCTCCACTGGACTCTCTCCAATGCATCCAAATCTTTTCTGGAGTGGAGGACCCAGAACTGGATGCAATACTCCAGATGTGGCCTCACCAGAGCTGAATAAAGAGGAATAATCACTTCCCTAGATCTGCTGGCAATGCTCCTCCTAATGCAGCCTAATATGCCATTAGCCTTCTTGGCTACAAGGACACCCTGTTGACTCATATCCAGCTTCCCACCCACTGTAACCTCCAGGTCCTTTTCTGCTGAACTGCTACTTAGCCTCTTAGATAAAAATCTAAGAGGCCAGATTCTTATCTGGTACAAAATAGCAGAGCTCCACTGACTTCAGTGCCTGTTTACAACAGACGAAAGTCTTATTTTGCAACACAATTCAGTTGGGTGTTGCTCTTCTCTGGACCCTCTCCACTTTCCCCACACCTTTCTTGAAACGGGTTGCCCAGAACTGGACTCTATACTCCAGCTGAGGCCTAATCAGCGCAGAGTAGAGTGGAAGAATGACTGTATGGCCTAGGCCTGGAGCAGACATGCCAGCTACGTCTAGACTGACATGATTTTCCGGAAATGCTTTTAACGGAAACATTTTCCATTAAAAGCATTTTCGGAACAGAGCGTCTAGATTGGCACGGACGCTTTTCCACAAAAAAGTCCCAATCGCCATTTTCGCGATTGGGGCTTTTTTGCGGAAAACAAATCCGAGCTGTCTACACTGGCTCTTTTGCGCAAAAGGACTTTTGCCGGAACGGGAGCAGCATAGTATTTCCGCAAGAAGCACTGACAATCTTACATGCGATCATCAGTGCTTTTGCGGAAATTCAAGCGGCCAGTATAGACAGCTGGCAAGTTTTTCCGGAAAAGCGGCTGATTTTCCGGAAAAACTGGCCAGTCTAGACACAGCCGCCCAGTGTGACTCCAGAGAGTCCATATGATTTAGAGACCCCTGGCTCCAGCCCTTATGTCCCAAGACAATGGCTCCTCCCAGTTGTGCGGCAATTGAATTTATCTAGCAAGTCCAGCGTCTGGCGCACAAAGCCACAATTCATTTCTATCCCCAGCGCTGGTCCTGGCCGGCTGTGTCATTTTGGGCACAGTCACGTCTCTCTGTGCGCTCTTCTGCCATCTGCACAGTGGGGATAAGAGATCTTTGAGATCTGCAGGTGAAAGCTCTGAGCAAGAGCTTATTAGTATTAATTATTGTCTTAACCGTTAACACCTCTTACCGGGGACCAAGCGGATCATTCTCTTCCGAATCACTGGGAATCTCGACTCCAGTGGGTTTGGAATTGGCCCCTCATTAATTAGAGTGTTGAGTGAAAGAAACAAAGCCGCCCACAAGCACAAACCAACTATGTACGTCTTGCAAACCTCAGCAGTTAGCTGCTGGTTGGGCCTGATCCTGCGAGGTGCAGCGCAACTCCTGCAGTCACTCAAGCCCCAGGGTTATCGAGGGCACTTGGCAGCTAATAGGATCTGATCCATTACCAGCACAGGAAATGCAGATGAGGTGTCAAGATATCTGTTGTGCAAAGAATAAACCACCACAAGGAGGGCCAGCAAAGCGCTGAGGTCAGCCAGTTTCCTTCCTGGTCCGCCAGATTGTGGCTCCGCGCAACAAACGGCAGCTCCCCAAGTAGAACATTTCCCCCCGTTAGCTGTAACCGGTAAGCGGGAGCTGGGACAGCAGCAGGCAGGACCGCGGGGAAAGAGGGACTCAGCCAGGGCTGAGCGTGTTTGCCAGGGAACACAAAGCGCCTTTGCTCTCGAGGCGCGTTCCCGTCAGCCAGCAATTGGCTAATCCTAATCCTAAGTGCCCTGCCATCAAGGGCAACATGTCGCTGGGCCTGCCATCGGACCATGAGCTATCGCGCCGCTGGACTAGCTGGAAGCAGAACAGCTCAGCTGTGTGTCATAGGCCTTGTAGTGGCAAAAGGGGATTCTCCGTCTGCTCCATGGGGCAAGAAGGATTGAGGTTCTACCCTCGCCATTTGCATGAGATGGTCAGTGGCCGCAAAGGAGACCATTCTCTTCTTCTTGCGCCCATTTTTCCTTCTCTAGCACCTACACAATGGATCTGGTAGGCGTTTTGAAGGTTAGCCATTCGGCCGCCGCCACCAGCAGACAGGGAAAGGGCATTGTCCCTGCCTCACAGGGGCAGGGTCCAAAGCACAATGTAATCAGCGTGGTCTGTGATGGTTCCCCCCCATGTGTATGAAATTGACTTATGGATACAAATATGCATAGCTTGGGACAAAATGCCTCATGCCACCGATCGGTCTTAATGTCACGATGCGCTGGGTCTGGATTTCTTATTTTGGTGTGTTTCTCACTCTGGTGTGTAAAGATAGAGACACGGGTAGGGAATGGTTTATGGTTTGAAATGTGCAAATGGAAGCCACCAAGGGGGTTTCCCTCACTGTCTGGGTGGTTACCTGAAAACAGCCTCCTTTGTCCTTTTGGTCTTGGCCATGGTTGGGCTGAGGAATTCATGTGACTGCCCTCATGGGTAGGATCTGACCAGGTAATTTTCCAAGGCAGGGTGGAATGCAGAGAGGAAGAATTCCCATGCAAAAGGAAGGCTCTTTACGATGCAAAAATGCAAACGTTTCAGCCCTTGGTCTTTGGCTGGCAGGACACACCCAAGAGGATAACCAGAGACCCCCAGGGAAAAAAGATCTTCCCTGGCTTGGAGGTTTAGCTGAAATACGAACAGTTTTAGGGTAAGTTTGCAATAAGTTTTAGGGTGTTAGAACGAGCTCTGTGCTTTCTGTTATTTTAAATGTGTAACTCGCTTCGCTCTGCCTGTTTTTACTTGCAGCCACTTAAACCCTCCTGCTTGTAATTAGTAACATCGCTTTTCTTTACTGTCAAGCTCTGTGTAAATAATTGTTCCCTGGGAGAGCCATCCGGGTACACACCCTCCTGTGATTGGCAAAGGGGACGTGCCTGGGTGGTGTATTTGGGGTTCGGATCCCAGTTGGGGTTAGGATTCCTGGATGTTGGGCCCAAAATTGCATTCGCCTCAGAGATGAGGTCATTCAGTGTTTGTATTGCTCTTCAAGGAGGCGGGGGGTGATCTCATCTTTGTGCCTTGGTGGGGAAGACCAGGAGATCTGGCCCAGCAGGCCAGGGAGGTGAGAAGCCCCAAGGAGCAAGAAGTGGCTTTCTCAGCACTTCGGGAAGCAGCCCCAAGGAGTCTTCTATGACCGCTCCTCGTCACAGCATCTTCCATTGTTTTTTGTCTCCCTCTCTTTCAAAAC